TGGGTGTGTTTGTGTGTGAGAGAGAGAGAGAGAGAGAGAGAGAGAGAGAGAGAGAGAGAGAGAGAGATAGAGAGAGATAGAGAGAAAGACAGACAGAGAAAGAGAGACAGAGAGATAAGATGTTATGAGGTGGTACTTCTGTTTAAAAAATACCCACATTCAGCTGAGTTATAATATCCAGGATGCAGCATCTATGTGTTAAATTCAAACCTTCTTTATATATTTTAGACACATATCGAAATTTAAAGCAAGTAGAGAGCATAATTTTTATTACAAGCTTGATGGGAGAGGAAGAGAGAGAGTGAGAGAAAGAGAGAGAGATGATAATTTTGTAAAAGCTTAGTTTTACGGGTGAAAAAAAAAAAAAAATCATAATGGCGATAAATATTATAAGGAGGAAAGTTATGACCTGCAAGATCCTGCGCTACCAGACTTGAGATTATATATCTGAACCAACTCGGCACAAAAAAAATATTTTCAAATAGGCCTTCACTTTACATTAAAAAGTGAATATATACTTCCTCCACAGGCAATATGGAAGCCTGAATTCTTTACTGTTTTACCTCTTAGTAACAGTATAATATAATACATACCTCTACATATTCAAATGACTAGTTTTGTTTTCCCCTTTTCAAGACTTGAAACACAACATTAAAAAAATGGCACATCTTTATTTAACTACTGATCTCCGGCAAGCTGCTCCCAGCGGCTTGTGGTCGGAACTGTTGTGCTGATGATCCGCTGGCAACAGCTTGCACACATTCCTTTACGACAACTTCAGCACCAAATTACTTTTCAGCTATTGCCAGAAACAGGTTTCTTTTACCAGGAGTTAATTCATTAGATGAACTATCAAAATAGATCCACTTGTTTTGATTTAATGACCAATTTAGAGATGATGTTACCTCCTCTGGGATAAAGAGTTAGTACACAATATTTCACTCAAAGTATATAATAATCTTTTTCCAGCTAATTCAGTCATTGATGCAGAATGCAGTCTTTGCCTTTACAGCAATGCAGCTCTCAAAACATCATCTTAGCATTGCCAAGACAAACATTATTGTACAATAAAAACCTAAAATCTCTGTGAAATTACCAATAATCGACAGATAATGACTGTCCACATGTAAGTGGCTATTACCTCGGGGGGGAAGAGATAAAAGCCAGCACACATTACAAGCCTCAGGGCATATAAATAGAGAAATTATAGATTTAAAGGGCAAGTGGGCTAACCCAGATTTCGGGAGTTTCCAGAAATCTTGACCTACACCAAAAGTGGGCATTGCCCTACCTATAGGAGAAGTTTGGTTTCATTGGTGTGTATATTTGTTTGGTTATAGAGAAAACTCTCCTTGTATTTTAAAGAAACTGAACAAGGGGCAAAAACTTTACCTTCGATTTTCTCAAAACAGCATTTTTCGGGATAGCCCCCTTGTGCTTAAAAGCGACCATATATGTGGCTGGTGCGCATGTGTGTGTGCGTGGGTTCTTTTTTTTTGGTAAGGGTTTAAAAGTGCTCGAAACCTCGTAAGGTCATAAGAGCACTTGCGTCACATTTATTTATCCTTTTCCGTTGGTAGGAAATTTTGAATTTTGCCCGGGTGGCGGCCAAAGCCTACTCTTATTGACTTTCGAATACCAAGGGATCTTTAACGTGCACTACTTGCACACTGGACTTCCGAGATTGTCCGCCCTTGTCCAAGAAGGCTAGGTGTAGAAGGTCTTTCCTACATGAAGATCAGGGGTGTGCAAGAAATAGTCAGGAGCCCAGAGGAGGGGGGCAAAGGAGGTAAAGGGGTGGGGGCAAAAAGTAAAGTAAATAAAAGATACATCTTTATTGTCCAGACCCTGGAACATTGGTTTGGTGTTTCATTGCGTACACACATAGACACAAACACATACATGCACACACATGCAGGTTTACAGTCAAAAGCTATAATATAAATGAATAGAAATTTATAAACAATAACAATCTTAAGCTAGCTATACATAGAGGTCTACTCAGAATTCTGACTAACAATATGGAGATGAAAGCAGACGACATAATAATAATATCGTTACAGAGTAGGAAAGGAGGTGAAAGGAGAAAATTTTAGAGAACAAGAAAATTTTCCGTCATCCGGATTCAAACCCACGACCTATTGAATGAGAGGCGAACACCTTAAAATTAACCCCTAAGACCACGAGAGCCCCCGTGTGTGTGTGTGTGTGTGTGTGTGTGTGTGTGTGTGTGTTGTGAGCAGAGCTGGTAGTAATGGAGTACAAGTACTCCGGTACTTGTACTTACGTTACAATTTTCGGTACTTTTACTGTACTCCGGTACATTTTGAGAATCAGTACTTTTACTGTACTCCGATACTTTTTATAAAAGTACTTTTGAGTACTTTTCAAGTACATTTTGAGTACTTTTGAAGCTTAATGAAAGAATAAGTGCCGACATTTCCGATCATAATTTACGGAACAAACACACGGGCGGGCACAGCCGATCAACCAAGAGTTAAAAGTTGATATTAAAGAACTGCCCGTCGCGTCAAAGATCAGCCACTCTTGTGAAAGTGATCACATGTGCTGTAAAACTCCATGAAACGGTACAATGATCCCCAGACGGGATCACACCGAGGTGTGAACAGACCGATGGGCGTTTCTTTTCCCCAAACATCGCACTCGCATCTGAGCTCGCCACCTGAACTTTCATCCCTCGCTGGGTGGGTTGGGCCTACACAAGTTCGCCCCAGGCAGGATCACATCGAACTGTGAACTCTTCCCTGACCATTGAAGTTGAAGGCAGTTTTTCTCTATTCCCGAAACTGCGAGACAGCCTGAATTTTAATTGGGGTGGTCACAGCGTAATGGTACGTAACGACAAAGGCGGGGGGACTCAATCAGAGATGGAAGGCTACAATTTTTGGACAGGTAAAGGAGAGGGGCAACTGGATAAACGTAGATAAAGATCTCGAGACAATATGCTAATGAGTGTACGGTATAATATTATGGCTTGCCTCATGCCACCATGCTACTGTGATTGGTCATCAAGGATGACCACTCTTTGCTCGCCATATGTCATAAACCTACCCAGGGGTCACATCAGTTCTTGGGTCACTGTAGATTCTTCCTTAGCTTCGTCGGGCTAAGATCCCATATTTCCCTTGCTCCCGAGCACTGGGATCTTAGGCGGAGACTACTGTAGTAGAGAATTTTTGGTTACACAACACTTACTAGACTCTAGGAAATTACATGTAGGCCTATTTTGGTTTGCCGTGGGCGCCGTGGACTACACAGTGTGACCAAACTCTGTCTTACCACTATTATAATCAGTTGAAACTGAAATCGAGTTCTCAATGTATATCAATCTAACAATTTTTTAGGCTACCTAAATTTCTTTTTTCCTTTTTTTGTGGTTTGTGCTTAAGACTACCTTGATTCCTTGAGGATTTGTTAAAGAATTCAAAGCACTTTTTTTTTTGCTGGCCATTTTCATCAATTTTTTATTTTCTTAGGACAACTTTGTCTCTACATTTTCCAATTTTGATACTTTTCCTACTTTCCGACCCCTAGGACTGACTTACATTAGATCATATTGTCTTGCTCAAACAAATTCTATTCATAATATCACTTACTCACTAGTTGCGTCTGTTTGTTTGCTGGGTTTTTTTTTTTTCAATTTCACGGACAATTTCCACCTACGTTCAGTGCGTATATTCAAATGCTTTGTATACTGTTTACATTATTAGTAATAAATGGCCAAATTTGTCAAATATACTAGATATCTTATTCAATATGATGTTTTGCATTTTGAAGTGTTTTAGCATACTAGCAGAAAGTACTCAAAATGTACTCATAAGTACTTTTTTAAAAAGTACTTGTACTCAAGTACATTTTACAGGAAAGTACTTTTACTGTACTTAAGTACATATTTCAGATTGTACCTAAATTTGTACTTAAGTACCTTTTTAAAAGTACTTTAACAGCTCTGGTTGTGAGTGTGACATTGCACACATCACCATCATTTGGGATGGCTTTCATCAACTTGAATCAAAAGTCATCATTTTGGAATAGATCTAGATCTACTTTTATTTTCTTGAAAATGAAAAAATCTTCAATTTTAAAAAATCACACAGTGCACGAATCACAAAAATCTGAAAACCCCTTCGGTAAGATTGAACTTTGGTGGACCCAACACTGAACGAAGCCGAATAAACTACTTTGAGCCTCGCTGTACAATGGTCTGCTCTTATAATTATGCTATAATTGTTTTGCAATGGTGTTTTTCTGAAACCCCCCACTGTTGTTATGGCTAGTGCGCATTAACTCTTTATCTCCGGCAAGCCGCTCCCAGCGGCTCGCTGTTGGAACCACTGAGCCGGTGAGCCGCTAGCCGGGCACATATTCCTTTACGACGACTTCGACATCAAATTATAATTAATTACTTTTCGGCAATTGCCGAAAACAGGTCTCTTATACCGGAAGTTCATTTATTATATGATGAAGAACTATCAAAATAGGTTTGCTAGTTTCAATTTGAAGACCAATTTAATTACGTTTTTGTCATTTTTAGAGATAACACCAAAACAGGGGCATGGCGTAGTGGGATTACTCCCCTCGGAGATTTTAATTATAACTCTTTGCGGACGTAGTTTTTTGGGGGTCTAGACATAATTAACCTCAGGCTCGCTTTGGTTATATGCAAGTGGTGTACAAAATAACTTCATAGCTAAGCATTATAACCATCACTCCAAATGTAACAATATGAAATTGTAGGAAATTGAATGAGGAATACATCCCACTATAAAACAAGGATTAATTTGGAACATAAGTTTGCATAAATAAGAAGTGTTAGAAATGGCGATGGTGACGAGAAAAATAAATTTTGACGGAAAAATTACGTTTACCAAACAAGTGAGAAAGCAAATCAGCATCTAGCTCTATCTTATAATATACAGGCCAAGAGCATATTAATATAAATTTCTGAATGCGCAGCTTTTATTTGAAAGCAATATTCCAGTTTTTGTTTGAGTATGGTATTTATACTGAGTCCAGTTACATCATGTTTGTTGATGCAAGACCCCAAGAACTAATTCACTCGTTTTTCCCCAAACCCACACTTTGACAAAGTGAAACTAGATGATTTCGTTTCCGAGTTTTTCAATAGCAATAAAGAGTAGATCTAATTTATAAATGACGGACCGTGTTACAACGAAACAAAACTGAAGCACCCTATCACAGTCGATATATCGGCAATACGTCCACAAAGGGGTGTGGACTCGCGCCGATCGGCGATATGTCCGGAAAGAGTAAATAGTTAATTCTATCATGTGTAAACAAGGTACGTGGGTCCACCAATGTTCAATCCAGCCACCCCTTCTATACGTGATTCATGTGACTACAAATGAAATCTAAACTAAAATTTATATAGGGCCTAATGAGTGTGAGTGTATTATATAACAATAACAGTAACAGCGACCCCCAGACAAAAGTATGCCATAATAATATTCCAATTAAAGTTTAATAAAGTACAGTATTTAAAATTTAAAGCACAGAAACACGATGAAGAAGCTTTCACATTGCAGATAGAGCTTCTGTCACAAATCAGTGTGTAAAGAACAGTAAAAGGAATATAAAAGAAAATCGATTTCTTCTGAACTTCAGCTATTATAAAACTAACACTGAGGATCAAGTTTTCGATCTCAAAGTGAAAGTAGAATATTTGTAAGGAGCAGGCAGAGGGAATGCTTGTTGTGTCGTTAAATTGTTAAATTAGTGATAGATCTAGATATATCTAATAAGTTCTTGTGTCCAACATAATATGCAATGCATGTAAAAAAAAAATGCACACAGTTCCTCTAGAATCCAAGATTAGAACACTCCTTTACCGCTTGTTGGATAAGACTGCTGGACCGCCTCACACTCTGCATGATGTTCCTTATCTGTGTCGCGTACACAAAATGGACAACTCCCCCGTCAGCTGCGACTTTATAACAAGGTGAAAGGTGAAAAATCAGTCAAGGCCACATCGACAGCATTAAACGTTACTTTTTTGACAAAAGAACTCGACCTGAGTTCGTTTTGGCCGTTTTGGTACTCTTCTGAGGAATTCACAATCCTCATAAACATAAAATTGATACTCAGATAATTGTGAAAAGTTCACTCCTTGGGCCTAAAACGTAACAAGTCGAAATTAGAGAGAAATCCATTAGTATAGTGCTCACAAAATTGCGAGCGATAATTAAGACGAGCTCACTCTTTAACTTATTAAGACAAGAAAACACTTCAAGAGAAGATAATTAATGCACACAAAAGACGCAAGACAAAAAGGAAGAATTTGTAGAAGGATTTTTTTCACCGACAAAACAACATTTTGTTATCACTTGAAATTATTCTAGACGACTGAATCTACTGTTTTATTTCCTTTCAATATTTTAGATTTTATTTCTCTGCGTTGTGGCTTCGAAAGACATGGAGGAATCTGAGAAAGAGTCGCCGAAAAAGCCCCCAAAGGTCGTAAGAAATCCAGATGAGTGGCGTCCGTTTGGTACATCAACTGCAAAGTGCAACTGTGGAAAGTACAACTTAAAGGACTTACCACAGTTGGAGGTATGCATGTGGTTATTGTTGTTAATGTTAATGGTTTATGCATTCTGCGACACAATGTAGGTAATTTAGGAGGGATGATGCTTTGACTCTACTCTACCTGCAGGGCCAATACAATACAGAACAGGTGCGCAGTCTGCTGGAGGAAAAGATTGCTGCCACCTGCTGTCCTGTGACTGTGACTGTGCCTGTACCAACAGTTCCTGTAGCCAAATGAGTGGAGGAGTTTACATTTGTTTTTACCATAGCCATAAGCAGCATCATGCAGAAAGATGCAAAACTCAGCATAAACGTCCATGCAGAAATTGATATCCATAATAATGTCTTGCATTTTTGCATGCACCGGACATGGTTGCACCTCCTGCTGATGTGCTGTGTAGGAGTGTAGGTCTGTTTTTTTATTTCACATTTCTCCTGTCATGGATGGAGGATTGCAGACTTTTGAATATGATTGGTGCACACAAGACATTGAATGTTGTTGTAATAAATAATTTATGTACACTTTTTGTGAGACATGATCATGATGACATGGACATGGGACATTATCAAATTAATTCCCCACCACTCATCCCACCTTCAGATTCCCTCTTTTAAGTCTGGAGTGTCTAGATTTTAATGGAAAGAGAAAAAACTACCAATTAGATAAATTGTCATCTACTTCCTTAGGCTACCTATCCTCATGTCTTCTCTCTATGTAATGGGAACAACTTCAAGTATTGAAAAGTACGAAGTGACTATTTCTGTGAACGCTCGGGTAAATAAACCTGATCTCTATTTCTCCGAATGGTTTCAGTTCTCGAGATTCTTTTGGTTAGACCATTTGCAAGAGTTCGGCGTCATCTTTCATTCTGCGAGGACTGGGAGGAAGCATGTTTTGCATCGAATTCAATTTCTAGAGCTAGAGATTTTTAGTTCTTGTCTGAATATTCAGACACTTCAATTGTGGTTGGGGCAACATTCCCGGACCAACTTCATTATAAAATACCTTCAAAAGGTGCTGCGAGAAAACAAGACTGCTCAACTTTGGCAGTTTGCAGTTAATCACCCCTAACGCAAAGACTAAAAAAAAATTTCTCCCCCCGCATCCCCCCCTACCCATGTTCATGCCTTACACACACACACACACACACTCACACACACACACACACACACACACACACACACACACACACACACACACACACACTCACACACTCACGATGCACACACACACACGTGGGCCCCTCCATTCGCAAATAACCAAAAAATCTTGAGAACGGAAACCATTCGGAGAAATAGAGTTCAAGTTTATTTTCCCGAGCGTTCGGAGAAATAGAGCCGGCCAAAAAAGTATATGTTTATGGTTTGACAATCTATAGAATACACTGTTATCTTTACAGTGTGTGAAATAAAAAACAGATGTATATGATATTGATAGTCTTTGAAGCGCTAAAAGGATGTTAAAGAAATGCTTGGACCGCTTGTCCTCTTGTTAATGGAGGATCAATATTAGTAGCATATCTGATCTCACTCTATATGGATAAACTGGATACTTCCCTTTTAAAACTCTTTGTCTCCAAGGGGGGTGGGGGGTAAACCCACTATGCCGGGGCCTGTTTTTGGTACAGTAGTCTCCACGTAAATGCACGCCATACAAAAGCACGCTCCTCTCAAACGCACGCTTTCATCATTTGGCGGGTTTTTTACTACGGTACATAATTTAGACGTACAAGCGCATGGTCACTCCCTCTAAACGCACGCTCCGATCCGCGGAACGCTCTGACAGGTAAAGCTTGACAAAGGGAAATTTTCACTACAACCTTCACAGCTTGTATAAGACAAGCCTTGAAAACCAGATATTTGGTGAGACTGCCCCTCACACCGAACAAAAAGAGTGATGGGCAGCATTTTCACACCCAACTTTCCTCAGACACATAGGTCTAGGACTGGTCGGTGACATTTTTTTGGGCGGGGCGGGGGTTGGGGGACTGAAATGTTTTTTGATTGGTCACTGGAAATGCATCTTTGATAGGAGGTTTCTGACTTGTGTTTGGGTGACTAATGTAATGTTTAGTTAGACCGAGGCCTATGCTGCACAACACACTTGAATGCTGTAAAACACTAGAGGCCTCTATAGGATTAATGTTTAGTCTAGTAAGCCTTATCACTCTGCTCTTTAAGAACTTATAATGTACTTGTTCAACGAATCACAAGAGAAAAGTTTCTCTGAATGTAGAGATCTATGATTCTGATGTCATCCATGAATTTACGGTAGGGGGTGGTCACTTGGAAAGCCATGTGGCTGGTCCGTAGTCTCTAGATCTATGATTATCACCAACAGTTTCCTCTATCATCTGATCCCGACAATTCATGGTGCCTGTCATTATACTGAGTCTGTCTTCCCTAACCCCCCCACCCTTTGTATTCTTAACCACAAAATAGTCATGTGTCGTAACATTATCAGCAAAACTGACCTCCGACCCAAAGGGAGGTCACTAGAATATATCAAAGCAATGAGATGACTGCGTCCCTTCCTCCCTTTGCAAAGGTTCATGTAAATGCACTCTCTGTGCGTTCAGGTGGAGACTACTGTACTAAATCTAAAAATGACAAAATCGTAACTAAATTGATGATGAAATCAAAACAAGTGAACCTATTTCGATAGTTCTTCATCTAATGAATGAAATTCTGATAAAAGAGACCTGTTTTCGGCCACTGCCAAAAAACAATTTGGTGTCGAAGTCCTCGTAAAGGAATATATGTGCCCAAACCCCTGTTATTGGCTCACCGGCATAGTGGTTCCGACCGCGAGCCGCTAGGAGCAGTTTGCCGGAGATAAAGAGTTAAAACATTTGTTTGTTTTTTTTAAAAATAACATGCGTCACGACGGGGTGGAATCAGGCGCTTGTCAATTTTTGGACATGTAGAGTTATTGGTGTTATCTGAATGCTTATTTATATTTGCTTTTTCTTTCCGTGAAGAAAACACACATCTATCTTGAATAGAAGTCAAGATATTTGCTATTGAAGAGGGTGGGGTCACTTGATTTCAATGGTGAAATTTGCGAGAAAATGGCCTTCAAAGTTTTGTAACTCCAGTAGCGAAAGAGTCCTTGAAAACTGAAAAATGACAAATGTGTGCCTTTACTCAACGTTTGTCAGAAAAATTCACCTGGAAATGTGTTTTTATACGGACATAAAAGGGATTGAGTCAAAAAGCTAAAAACCGATAAAAAATGCCAAACTTGCAGAAAAATGCTTGTTTCTCTTGTTTCGTTATATTGACGAGCGCCTGATTTTGCCATATGTGTCACATATGTTTGCTAGGCATTTCTGAACACTTGTAGTCACATTTATGTTTAGTGGCTGGCTGCCACTTTCTTACTGCCTAGAAACTGGATGCTAATGATAATTTTAAAACTTAATATTTTCAGAGGCTTCTTCCAGAAGAGTATGACTACAAATTGTGTGACTATGAAGAGCTGGGAAGCTCAGAGAAATTTATAGTGACTCTCCGCATGAATCTTGCAACCAAGGAAGAGGCTCTCACATGGAAGCGATCGTTTGAAGAAAAGTCTCTCACCACACACTCTGTTGTTCAAGTCTATTCCAAAGTCAGCTTGAAGCGAGTGTTCAAGGTATATTAAGCTTTTTTTCTGCAGAATGAGGTAACCCTTAAAATGTTGTTACTCCAGCTGCAAGTCTGGAAAGGAAAACAGGGAAATAGATTCTTGAAAATTATTTCTGGATCCGCTCTTGCCTTTCTCACCTTTGTTTTATCTCTTATGTTCTTTTGCGCATCCTTCAGCTTTCAGCAGGGGGGAAGGATTTGTTTATTAATGACTGCCTGCCTCATATAATTACTTAAGCTCCTTTTTTCTTGTGTCTGGGTGAATGTTCAGGACCTTTATGTTTGCTTATGAAGAGAATTAAAGTTTAATGTTCACTGATGAGAGAGCTGTTGATAAGTAGTTGTACAGCCATATCTTAGATAAATAAACAATTTTTGTTCTTGCTTTCGCTATCCAACATGAAGATTGTCATTGTTATTTTGGCAGGGTATGTACAAGTGTAAGTTCAACCAGCCGTGGCGTGAGAAAAGACCTCGAAAGAGAAACCCGCAGTTTGAAGTGACGGATTGCCCTAGTGCTCTTAACATTGTCATAAAGAATTTTGCCAAGAGTGGACGCATCAGAGCCAGGTATTTGCATTCTTTTTCACTTATTTGACTATTATTTATGTTGTTTTTGAATGAATGAGGTATTTCTTGTCTTTTTCATTCCTCTGCTAGAACTCAAAGTAAAGCAGTTTTCCAACTCACAGCACAATGTTTTTTACTTATACTATCATAATTTCCAGAGCAAAGGGTCCCTAACCTTTCATGTTGCCAAAAATATTATTTTTAAAAAAATTAAAAAATATGAAGATACAGAACACAAAAAGGTTTTAATCTTGAGTATCTTTACCATTGACCCACTCTTCTGCATACAATGTATTGATACATAGGATCATAGTTTGACATTGTCTTTCTATAGGCAATTGTACTCTTTTCTTGCTTCTGCATGACTGAAGTCTCAAGTCTTGATTTTCCCTTGTCCGATATTAGAACATACACTATGGAGTTCACCCGCAACTAAGCAGAGATAAGAATGGTGTCTCATGCTGTGCCATTAATATGAAGTTGAAGAATATGGACACCACAGGCTAACATACACTATGGAGTTCACCCGCAACTAAGCAGAGATAAGAATGGTGTCTCATGCTGTGCCATTAATATGAAGTTGAAGAATATGGACACCACAGGCTGAAATGTAAAAGACTTTCCAAAGAGACTGATGTTTGCTAGTTTTAACTTTGTTTGCTTGTTTTAGTAAGGTTTTACAGTGCTCGCAACTGTATAAAGTCATATGGGCGCCAGTTTTAACTTTATCTAAGTTCTTTTTTTATCTCAAATCAAACTTATTCTTACTCCATAACGTAGTTCGGATGTGCAGTTCTTTGTGCACTTGTATCTCAGGGAATCTGCCCGCCTCTTTCACAGAAATAGGAAACATGATTTTTTTCTGGTTTCACTTATTAAGGATAAAGACTTTAAATAAAGAGAAGGATTATTACAATTTTTCATTGTAGTTACTAAAATCATTTAGATAAGTTTTTGAATGAGCTGTAATTTTTTTTTTTATTATTAAAAAAAACTTTTCTCTACTCTTCAGGGTTTTTTTCTTGAAGAGTTTCAGTAGCAGTTAAAACCTTGAAAAGGAAAGCTGTTCATAGGATTTGTATTTGGTGAACATATGAGGAGGCGGTAGTTAGGAAGATCTCTATCTTTTATTTTCATTTTCCCTACATTACCTGTATCCACATAGTTTTAAATTGTCAGTCTGTAATTGATGTTCAAAGACAATTTTTAAAATACAAAATTGTTCAGTCAGCAAGTTATGATATAAACAGTTTTGAACAATTTATTCTTCTGTTTACGAAAAAAACCAAACCCACAGGATATACCTGTATGTAATTGTGTCTTCACTTTCCAGTTACCAGGTAACTTTTCTGAAATTCCAGAACTATGTTTTAAGTCTTTAAATGTGTGGTATTATGTGTATGCAGTGATCCCCACCTCCCTGGCTATGCCACTCTCATCCGGATACGATTCGCTCACAACCATGACATTGCAGCCCCACGGAGCCTACAGAAGCGCCCTCTCTGCCCAGATATTGAGAAGCGCTTTGAGGAAATGTTCCGACAGGTCTGTCAGTCTTAGGCTCTTGTTATTAATCCCTCACAATGGCTGTGCATTTGCCTGCAGTCCAATGTCATATATATAGTAATAAAGAGAAGGATAAATAAAGAATATGCTATGCTGTATTATTTGATATTGATGGCCTAGCAGAAGGCACAGAATGGTTGGATACAGATCGTTCTATTCTAGTGCCAATATTTCCCCACTTGCCATCTGCTCTTTTCCCTTACTCGACTTCCCATTCTCAAATAATGTCAATCTTTTCCTTTTTAGGAAGTAGAAAAATTGTTACTAGTTAGCCTTGCATCTCATGTAGTTGGTCTGAAGTTTCCCTCAGTGCATGTTTTTAATGTGACTGAGCATTCTGTTTGAGTCATTTGTGGTGGAACTTTTCTTTTGACTTTGACTATGACTTGGAATGAGAACTACTGTACATTCCCCCCCCCCCCCCCTCCAAAAAGGAATATTTTATATTTTTTTATAAAGTAACTTTGTTGTCCATGTTGATCTGGGTATGGGCCAGCCTGGGCAATATATCTGTCTTTCTGAACAATAAAAATTGGGGCAATTGGGGCTTGGGGGGGGGGGGTGAAACCTGCTATTACCACATCTACTTTTATGATGATTGTATGTATGTCTTTTCACATGGTGTTGAGCCCAAAGTAGCACTTCTGATTTTTTTTTAAATGTGTAGATTGGGTTGTGAAACATACTTTTACCACAACTACTTCTATGTGTGTGTGTGTCTTTTTTTAAGGCAAAGCTACCTGCCTTCTAAATGACATGATAGGATGTTTGTCTTCTTTCTAAATTATGAAAATTGTGTTAATGGAGGTGTAAAATATGATTCTACAATTTCTACTGTCCTTGTGCTTGTGTATTTTTGCAGGTAAAGCTGCTAGTGTTCTGAATGATGAAAACAGCATTTTGCAGGGGTGTAAAACATCATCATCATCACTGCCTTTCTCACCCTGCACCAGGGTATAAGCCACGAACAAACACTTTCCATTATCCCTTATCCAGAGCTGATCACTTGATCTCTTTGCCTTAAAAAGATACTGCCACAACTCCAACTTCTTCTAAGATGACTGTTTGTGTGTATGTTTTTGCAGGGCATCAAACCAAAAGACGCACTGGATAAACACAAGCGTGATCTACAGGGACAGCTGGGCATGGACCACTACCTGTCTGTGGCTGTGGACGGCTTCTATGTGCCGGACAAGAACAAAGTGTACAGGTGAGTCGTGTAGGGAAGAAAAATCAGAAGGCACCTCTAATGTTTTTCCCTTTTGGGGAAATACGATTTTCACATAGATGCGTCCTCCTTCTTCTTACTTTACTTTTCCACCTCTTTCTCTGCTTCATCTTTATCTTTCCTCGCCTTCCTCCCTCTCATTTTAGTTGGCTCGTCTCCCTCCTCTTCTTCTTTCCCTGCTTTTCCTTCACCTCCATTTCTCTGCTTCCTCCTTCTTTTTTTCCTTTTTAAGCTTCTCCTTTTCTCTTTTTGGGCTAGTCCTCCTCCTCCTGCTGCACCTTTTTAGGCAAATAGAAATGTCAGAAGCCACAGACCTGGAAGTCAATTCTCTCACTGGAGAAAGGGTTATACAAAGTAGTAAACCTGCATCGAACTGTGGAGTACGCACATTCAAGTTTTGCTCTGGGATTTGGTTGTCTAATTTAAAGCCGATTTGGGAAAAGTTTCTTTACCCATGTAGTGGAAAGCTGTACCTTTGAAATAACCTTTTTTTTTTCTAATAGGACACCAGCTTTTATCATTACTCGAGTGTTTTTTTCTACTTTACTTTACTCCTGGGTTAGAGGTTTGGAAATAGGCCCATTGCACACCTGCATATAATGTGAACCCTTTTCTAGCAAAATAACGCACCAGAATACATAATGCCTGTGTAATTCTGTAGTATTTACTCTAGTGTAGCATAAGCATGTCTCCGTCTTCTTTTCTTCCTTCTGTATTTTTATTTTCTTTACTCTTAGAGTGGAAAGCAGTACGTTTGAATTTACCTGTTTGTGTCTACTAAGGCGCTATCCTTTCTTGTTTCTGATATCATTACATTAGCACTCTTTAAAAAAAAGAAATTGACAATGTTTTCACAATTATGGTACGTATAGAATTTAATTCAAATGACAAGAGCATGATTCAGTAAGTTCTTGGAAGTGATAAGAGAACTCCACTAGCAGGTTGTTTTTTTTCTTTCCCATTGCTGTTTTTGTCTCTCTTCTTTTTCTCAGCGCAAAATGACGGTTAACGTGCTGATTTGCTCCTCTTTACTCGAAACTCAAACTGAACAACAAAAGCATGATTCTTTAATTTTTGGGAGTCTTCATGGTTATTCTGACTTCTGATTTAGATTCAAGACCACCTTGTGTGTATGTGTCTGTGTGTATTTTTATTGATTCTTTGATTTTTTTGGTGTGTTTAAAAAAAATCCTCTTTCTATTCCGGCAGGATGTACACCAAGGTCATGGGTAAGACCAGCGCCAAAACCACCACAAAACGGGTTTCCAAGCACAACCCAGACGCAGACATGATCGCGTTTGACTACTGTGCCACGTCTGGGAAGAGCGTGGTGGTCATGGATCCAGAAGAGGAGGACGGGGAGGATGTGGGAGGTGTAGAGGATGAGGCAGAGGAAGAGAGTGTCTCACAGGACCACCCGCCCGCAGGGATCGGGGGAAGTAACAGCCTGGAGGTCGTGACTCCCTCGAGCCAGGCTGTGGTGGCGCCAGTGTGTGGGACAGTAGCAGCGGCAGCACCTGTCATGATGTCAGCGGACCGACGTCATGATGTGGGAGAGATGCAGGTGTTTGATGCTCTGCTGCCAGACGCCAGTCACTCCATGGCACCACAAGGGCCCACGGTTGTCACAGAGGACCCAAATATCTCACAGACCTTAGGTATGGTCTATGAGAACGGCCCGGTGCAAAATACAACGGTATTGCCTGGTGGTCAGATTTTGCAGAATATGACTGCGCCCGTCCTTACTCTTCAGAACATGGGCACGCACAGTTTTGAGTACCACACACAGGCTGCACCTCAGGTTCGAACCAGTCACCAGATGGTGCCCACATCAAACTTTGGCCAGTTGACTCATCTTCAAGCCCCTAACATGACGGGCGGTAATATCCCCATTCACTCTGGTACCTCATCCTGTGCAGTGCAGCAAGGTGCTGCTATACAGAGCCTGAACCATCAGAATTTCTCCAGCCACCACTACAACATTGTAGCTAACATCAGCTACCAACCAACAGCAGCACAGAGCATCCTACATCAGAACATGATGAATCAGACACCAATCATCCAGAATGCATTCCAGCAGCACCCTCCCCATCCTCCACCTCCAGCACCGCCGTCTCAACCAACCTTACCTCAAAACCTAACAGTTCAGAACATCAGTCAGCAGTATCAAACCCAAGCTTTCCGGCCTATGCTGGAGGCTCCAGAGGTAAAACCGCCTCAGACCCAGGCGTGGTTGTCTCACAAAGGAGCCAGCATTCGCTGTCAGCCGCCCCCGCTTATTCGGAAGGGACTGGGTAGCAAGCTCAATGCTCAGAAGAAACGCTACCACAATCTGTCCAACCTCAAGACGGTGTGCAGAAAGAAAGGGAAAAGCGGCAAAAGCGAGTTTCGCGCCAACTCCTTCCGGAAGACTCTGCTGAAGAAGACGCCTCGGGTGGACCCCGTCACGCACAGCACAGCCTTCCAAGCAGTGCAGAACATGCTGCTTCTGGACGAGAGTAAGAGACTCAACGAACGATTCTCAAGGTTCTGCATTGACCTTGAGGAAAAGATGAACTCAAACCTGAAGCTCTTTGTTCCTGGCGTGCGGAATTTGATCAACACTTGGCAAGATCTGAAGGATGATGAGGAGCGAGCGGCGGCTTTGAAGGATTTTGGAAAATTGGAAGATAAAGTTATCGAGGAGCAGAGGAGGAAAAAGTTAGATAATATGAGGGATAAAGGTGTTCAAGTTGTGATTTTACCCCCGGCACCAAAGCCTACGTCTTCTTTTAAAAACTCATCATTGTCTAAGGCAGGGGAGGCACCTGTGCTGTTGATGCCTGTCAATGAGGTGCCACCGGGGCAGAAGATTTTCGTTCTTCCTGCAAGCAGTCGAGTGGGCTCGAGCGGGACAAATGGCAACGGGTCAGGTGTCACGGAAGACTTGATTCTAGTCCCGGCTGACGTTGGCATGTCAGCGCGAGAGAAAGCCTCTTTGCTCAAATCTTTGAAGCCACAGTTGTCCAAATTGAGACTAAGAACTAAGAAATCCGTGTCGAGTGCTGTAAGGAAACTGACTGTGAAGCAAAAGCTGAACTCAGAGATTCTGAAACGTCTTCGAGCTCCACCAAAGTCTGTTTCAGCAGTCAAGAAACAACTGGAAGAGGTGGATCGTTCAAGGTCATCGTCTCTGCGCTCCTCGAGTACCAGAAGTAGGAAAAGTCTGAGGGGGAAAAATAGCAATGAAGCCTCCATGTCAGAAACAAATGGTGTTGAGACATCTCTGAATTCCTCTTTATCTCAGATGACGCAGGTCACAGACTCTGATGAGGAGGACTGTAGTCCCAGCTCCAGTGCTGACCCCTCTTGGAGTTCCAAGATGGAACAATCAATGACTTCACCAGCAGGTGGTGCTCACGGCAAAGGGAAGAAGGGCCACAAAGTGACCTCAAAGAACGCAAGAGACAAGAGTGGCATTAAGATCTCTGTGGAGACTCTGATAGGGCCAAAAAGTGTGCGGCATTCCGTTGAAGGAAGTGCTGTGGAGAGTCTGCCATCTGGAACGTGACCATGGGTCAGTGCAGCAGCAGTTTGTGTGTCTCATTTTGCATTGTGATGGTCTTTTCCTAACTCTCCCCTTCTTCTCCTTGTCCTCTTCCTCCACCTTCTTGCTCTACTTCTTTATTCCGCCACCAAACTTCTGAGACAGTCAGTTTTAGGTTCCTCTACCAACAGTATAGTTGAAGATGCTTAAGTGATGTGTTTGCACAAGGACTGAATTTCCCTACCTTTTGGGCACCCGTACGCATTATTTATACATTTTCTTTGTCCCCAGTTTCTTCAATGTTGGGTAGCAGCTATTTATGGAATTTTGTATTGGCTTCAAGCCAGGCCAAACCTTCTCTTCTTCTACTTCCAGCTGCCAAGATGTCTTTTATATGCACAACATGCATATTGGACTCCCACTCTTTATGATCTTATGTGAAAAGACTAAGCTCTTTGTCTTATCTAACTTAGGATGTGAGTGATAATGAGCTGAAAAATCCCTAAAGAAATCCATCCACCACTACTATGCCTGTGAACTAGGCATCGAATCATGCTCTCCGGCATGAGAGGCAAGCTCCTTTTTCTCTAAAGTGAAGAGCTCCCTCTTGTAATGGTAATCCGGTTTCTGAAATATTTTTTTTCCTTGCACTCTGAAAATATTTATGTCTCGGTCTTATTGCCATACCTTTTATATTCTTAGGTTTAAATTTTATTACTTGGCTAGCCTTTGTGGAATTTTTCACCCATAATATTGTTTCAATTTACATGCTGTCTGTGTTTCTTAATCACCCTTTGTCCTGTTCTTGGAAAGATATATTGAAATAGATGAAAAAACTATACAGGTACTGAGGTAATACTGCAGATGCTTTTGTTGTTGGCATGCTTTTGTGATGCCAAAATATATTTTTTTTTGTGCTGCCAAATTGCAGGGATTTTTTTTTTAGTATTAAGAAATCACTCAGAGAAATTCAAGTTTATGCAGCTTTGGTGTTCATCTTGTTTTTTGCTGATATACATGTTGGACTATGCATGACGGTGAAACAAAGCAGAATTGAGGGTCCAGAGAAAGAAGGAAATAAATGGTCACTCGAACATCATGTGTCCTTTAGTTTTCGGGAAGGTGGGGAGGGGAGGGGTCCGAGGATTCTGCTCGCTGGTTTTCACATCTGACTGTGGAGGTGAATTTCCCAGACTTTCACTCAGACTATTTGCTGACTGTCGAATGTTATAGATGCAAGAGGAAATATAATTCAGCAGCAGTGTTTTTCATTGTGTCCTTGAACTCTTTTTTTTAAATCTCTTTTTTTCTGTAACTGTATGCCTAGAGTTGTGTCAGTGCTGGCATGAGATGTACGCACTTTTGAGTTGGTTGTTTACATACCTGCTTTCCATTAATTAAGGATATTTCATGGGGTTGTGTTAATAATCCATTAGCTTTGCTACATTGAAGACACACTCAGCTTGAGACATCCGTGAACAATCTGTTAAGGCCATTGAATAGATGTTCCTGATTAACATCAAGTTACGCCACTATTGCGCTGAATGTAGCGGATTATAATGTATGCAGTAGTCTTTGCATGAGAGCCCTGTGTTTGAGAATGGGGAGCATCAAGTTACATCAGCATAACACTGAATGCAGTGAGTTATGACTTCGTATAATTATAATCATCTCTGAATGAGGCCCCTGTGTGTATAGGGAACTATGAAACTGGAGGATTTTATGCAGGCAGGATCATTTATATGTATATATATACATATATTCATATATATGTGTGTGTTTGTGTATATGTATTACAAAAAATGTACTGTATACATATCAAAGCTGCCATAAGGTACTTGGCAACTCTTTTTATATTTATTCACCTCTGAAAGTAGTATCAGACAGAGCTATTTATTGTTCTCGGGACAGTTTTAAAAAAACCACCTGTAAACCTGTAAAACAAAATATATTTGACTTGGGAACAGTCCATGATTGAATCAAAATAATCTTTCCTTGCGGTAAGGTTTGTAGGATGCCAAAGTCATTCATGCAGTTGACCTGTCAAATCAGTCAGAACATGCCATCACGATGAGGAAATCTTGAGTCCTGAAATCTTTGAAATCCATCCCTATTTATGTCCATACTCTATCTTCCCTGTCTCCTGCATGGTTGAAGTTTTACTTTACATCAGTGTTGAATAAAAGGGGGCATTGCATTGGCCAAGGTTTATTTATTTTTAAAATTTTAAATACCACAAATAAAGAATCTAAGGAGGGACAGCTGAATTTGTGTTTCTTGAGAGCAGACAGAATCAGTGGGTAATCTGCAGATCAGGCACTGGAATCTTTGGCACAGAAACCACTGCACAGCTCTGTTACTGATAATATGTGGCCTAGATTGTGTTTATTTGCTTGTGGGAAACCCCAGTCTCAGTTGTGAAGGGCTCATACTAGTCACAGATCCCACTTCTTTTCTTTCCCTCTTTTGTCTCTGTCTGTCTGTCAATCTGTCATGCTTTTTTCCTGCGCTAAGTGACTATTATTGCAAGGATGTGCTTCTCTGTACTCAAACTCAAAGCCACATGAGTATGCCAGTATTCTTGTGAGATACCTCAATCTCGGCATATGGGTCACTTTGACTGTGCCTGTATGCTGATGGCATCAAATACCATTGTCCCGTTATACATATCACTATAACTGTGTTGACTTGAGAGATGCCTGAATCCAACACACATGTCCCTCTGATTGTTGGTGGAAGCTTTTGGGATTCTCAAGGTCTGTAAGGATGTAACTGGGTGTTGCGTTTAGAGTTCCACTGTCCACAAATATTATTTTGATTGTTTTATTATTATGGTGTCAACTTTGAAAATCGTCTTCCTGAAAACATACTTATATATTATATGCACTTGCACTTTGCTGTCAGGTGTGAGCAAGCTGTAGACTTTCTCTGTCTCAAATGCTGAATGCCCGGATTCTTTCTTCTTGTGTGAGGCAGCAGCACAACAAAGTGAATTTTAGCCTCACTTTTATACTTCATATCTCTCCAGAGTATGACATGCGGGTGATTGGAGGGAGCAACTGGTAGGTCCTACTTCTTCTCTTTCCCTTTGTTGTTTCTGTCTGTCCGTCTTACTTTTTTCCCTGCACTAAATGACCATTATTGTGTCGGTGTGCTGCTTTTTACTCAAACAAACAAACAAAAAGAATGTGGCATGTTTGTTACCAATTGGCAGTTATGTCAGACCTGGTTTTGCTACTGGAGAATACAATAAATGTATATATATAAAATA